TAAAGATGGTGGTTATCATGGTTTTAAAGATGGTGGTTATCATGGTTTTAAAGTATGTTGGTTAGCATGATTTAAAGATGGTGGTTATCATGGTTTAAAGGATGGTGGTTATCATAGTTTAAAGGATGGTGGTTATCATAGTTTAAAGGATGGTGGTTATCATGGTTTTAAAGATGGTAGTTATCTTGGTTTAAAGGATGGTGGTTATCATAGTTTAAAGGATGGTGGTTATCATAGTTTAAAGGATGGTGGTTATCATGGTTTTAAAGATGGTGGTTATCATGGTTTAAAGGATGGCGGTTATCATGATATAAAGTTGGTGGTTATCATGGTTTTAAAGTATGTTGGTTAGCATGATTTATAGGATGGTGGTTACCATGGTTTAAAGGATGGTGGTTATCATGGTTTAGAGGATGGTGGTTATCAGAATTAAAGGGTGGTGGTCACAAAGCACCAAGTAGTCCAAAACATGGTTTACTGTGGCACACTTGCAATTATTGCATTTTATTTCAATGGATCATCCCGATAAATTTCTTTACATTATGACAAACTGCCACATTAAGCTTGGTGTGTTTATAATGCAAACAGGTGTGTATTAATAAAACACCTGATTCTGCACTACCTTTTAATTGCCTTTTAATTAATCTGTTATTTTAATTTTTTGATTATCCTTTTTACTTTTTTTTTTTATTTCACTTGACTATGTTCATCTTCTATAGAAAGAATAATGTCAATAAAGTTATCTTATATTATCTTATCTTATACAAAAAGTTAGGGAAGTGAACATGACAGTGACATTCAATGTCTAGAACTGTTGCATGGCACAAACAAAAGAAGAAAGAAATGTACACACTCCGGATTCCTTTTTTTCTATGGAAATCTAAATCCTAAAAGTATATTTATTCCATATGTATGATGTTTGAAAAGACATGTGCCAACTACATGTAGTAATGTTATTGTGCCTTCAGGAAATGTAACATGTAATATTATTAATAATTGTCACGAATATTTTTTTCAAACTGCCCGAACCAACTCTAGGAGAGAACATTCCCACACAAATTGTTACCTTTGCTTTCCTGTGTATGCGATGACAACAGTAGAATCAATGTTCTTGCCTTCTGTGCATTTTTTAGATCAAGAGTGACCGGTGTTACTTCCATGTCTTCTAAGTTTTTCTTCAGTTTTTCTGCATGTTTTTTTTCATGACTGGTACAGCAGATGATTACAGCAAACTCATCAGATGTGATGGGTTTGTACACATGGGGAATGAATGGAATTGGTAGTTTTCTAAACAAAAACAAAAAATAACAAGCCATGCATGGCACAGTCCCCGTTAGTTATCACATTTAAGATATATAGTTTTGTTTATAGTAATATAACTGGAATATAACCATGTCAGGAATATGATTTTTTAACATTAAAATGATTGACATTTGTATCTGATCGTCAAACAAGTACATGTCCATTGAGAGATATTGCTCTGGAACAGCATTCAAAATCAGCCATTTTGAATACATGTATATCTGTTTAATTCGTTTAAAAGATTCCTCTCATTAGTAAATAGCGCCCTCACTCAACAATATTTAGAATGAGTGGTTGGTCAAAAGTTTGATGAGTCAGGTGCATCTATTGGCTAAGCTTGTTGTACATAGATGCAAATGAGTATAGGAACCATTAATGCTGTAGGGTGTACTGGGAGGGGTGGAGGATTTCATCTTTGTAATGACTGGTTGTAATGCGGTATCATGTTGTTTTCAAGATGCAGCCTGATATTTGTTGCTTTCTTGGTTGTTCAATTGTGGCTAAAATTTGTGTGGTGGGTGGAAGATGTGTTTATTGTTTGTTGAGTCATTGTTTAGACACCCTGCAGTTTGAAATGGTATGGTCCAAATCCAAATTCGATATGGTGGTGTTGAATATCTGTGCGATATGGCAGTGTCGTCTAAGCATCAAAATGAATTCTGTTTATTTATTTACTGTTGTAGATCCTGAGAACTAGCCATTGAATATGATATCGAGAATAAATGGTTTTCTGAACAAGCTTTATTAATTATTGCTGGCAATATTCCAGTATGAATTGGGAGCAAACTGTGACACCAAATCTAGTCGTTGTATTGTTATGCTTCTAAATTTTTTTTTTTAAATAAAATAAATTAAATAGAAATATATTATGTGTATTTTTGTATGTGGAAACATGGCTTGCCCACTAAAAAATATAAAGAAGTGTGGTCTGCAGTTCTTTTTTTTTTTAATTTTTTTATTTGTGAAAAAAACTGGAGTGTAAACAATAAAACACTCACAGTGCAAGGCTAGTTCACCAACATGTCTATTCTCTTGCTTGAGTGTGAAAGTACATGGTTTAGTGACTACCCCTTATATTTTTTTTTTAAATTTTAGAATTTGTTTTCATTTGGGAAGGTTCTTCTATAAAAATAGAGCAGATATATAATATATACATGTATATATATATATATATATATATATACATGTATATAACATGATGTATAACGAATATATAAAATTTGAATATAATCAGTCAAAGCATTTAAGAGATAGCCACCATTTGGCCACTTTGAAAAGGATCATCAATCCAATATATCCGTATATCTATGAAATGATGTATAATGAATATTACAAATTTGAATATAATCAGTCAAAACAAGTCAGAGATATGGGTCTAGAAGCCCATTCATTAAAACAAAATGTCCGCCAGACAGCCAATTTGAATCCGATCTGAAAAATAAATGATGTGCATCAGAAACTTGTACCGGGTAATGTCTAATATAAGTACCAAGTTTGAACGAATTCCATCCATAAATGCCAGAAACGCTTGATATTTGATGATTTTTTAGCAAAAAAATGGCCACCATTTGGCTATTTTGAATAGGATCGTCAAACCAATATATCTGTCTATCTATGACATGATGTATAATGAATATTTAAAATTTGAACAAAATCAGTGAAAGCAAGTCAGACATATGGCATGAGAACCACATTCATTAAAACAAAATGGCTACCAGTCGACCATTTTAAATCTCATCTGAAAAACAAAATTATGTGCGTCAAGGTCCCGTAATGTCTAATGTATATACCAAGTTTGAACAAAATCCATCTGTAAACAGCCGAGAAATGCTTGATTTTGATGATTTTTAGCACAAAAAAGGCCGCCATTCCGCCATCTTGAATCAGATCGTGAAACAAATTGACGTGCATATGTATAATATCATGTATGATGTATGTGTGGAGTTTGATTGTAATATTGGTTTAGGCATTTCTAAGCACGCACAGAGGTCAAAACATAAGTCCCCGTTTTTTTAAATTGAAAATAATGTTATATGAAATGACCGATATAATGTTTGTTTGTTTATTTATTTAATTATTAAAGCGTGATGTTCGTCCCGCAGCACGTGTTCGAATTCCATGTAAATAAACAATGTATTTTACATGCGTTGTATACGTCGCTATGAGTCCCATATCGAACAGGACGCGGCACAACGACTGTCGCCCTTTAATACTATAATTATATATTGTTATATTTTGTATTTATATATTTAATATTGTACTTTGGCAACAATAAAAAAAGCAATATTGAATGAGGCTAATGCATGATTCAGGAAATTAAAATTTCTTTACCTTCTTTCACTAGACTTACACATGTGCCCTGTCAATATGTCAATTATATGCACATACAATATAACCTATTATTATACATCTGTCACTGTAACGCTACAGGTCACAGCGTGCCGTAATTTTGCAGTATTTTGAGGGGTATTTTCATCCTACCATATTAGGAAATGTGAATTCCAAATATGGAATGACTATGCACTTAAGCTTCCTCTGCTGCGCGCAGCTGCTTGTCGGTCAATCCGCTCATTGTGCATACTTTGAGGTATCCTCGTAATAACCTCATATTATTATACATGTTTTACTAATAAAATGGAGTACTATTTGAGGTGCATCTTGAATAGAAACCGAATAAACCAAAAAAATGCACTTATTGTATACTAGATCATTAATATATGACCATCTAGATACACCTGACATTTAGGTAAATGCATGCAAAAAGGTATTGTGGTGTACATTACAAGAGAGATATTATTCACTATTTCTAGTCCAGATCGGCTTCTAATTCTAAAAATGGGTAACACATAACAAATAAATTGATAATTTGGTGTATTTCTTGGACAATTAATATTTAGTAATTCTGGACCCTGAATATGCTATATGATTGAAGCATGGATGAGTACCATAAAAGCTACTATGTACATGTACCTTTCCGGTTGCATCTTGTACATTTTCATAAGATTTGCATCATCTCCATGTGACTTTGCAGAAGCCACATACTTCTGATGTATCTCATCTCGTTTCATAGTTACATCTATACTTGGCTGGGTAACGCCAGAACTATCCACGTAGGAAAATGGACCCTTGATGACAGTGCTCTTACTATCATCACATTGTACAATACCTGTAACATGGAGCAACCAAAAAAACAACTATTAGTGAGAGGAGAGTGTGTCAATGTTGTTGTGGTGAGCTATCTGATTCTATCTACTGTAAAGGGGGTAATTATTCACTGGGTTTTAATTTAGCTTATTTCGCTGACTGGAAAATGCGCTAATTTAAAACCCAGTGAATATGTAAAATTTACCATAGAACACATTACCTAAATGACAAAACCGTGAACTTAAAACCCACTGAATATGCCTGAAATGGTAAATCAGTGAAATTTAAACCCAGTGAAAATTAGTCATTTTACAGTATCATTTCCACTGCATTGCATTGCAAAAAAATTACTATTAACAATTAAAATTTTCGAGGAATGACTGGAACTTTTCAGATTTTATTTAAGAAATGAAGGATTCTGTGATGTCCATTATTGCATGTTAAATATCACCACAATCAGAATTAGAGGTTTTTATGATGTCACAGTTTTAACATTATCACGTTATGTAATGTAAACCCCTATACACAATAACATTCATTTTAACCTAAAAGCTCCTAAATTTAACAACTGTAAAATACTATAATATTAATCTTCGTTGAAAAGACTTTTTTGGTGTTTTGTATGGAATTTTTATTACCGTAAAATCTGTATTAGAAGCCGCATCCCTAATAGAAGTCGCACCCATTCTTTTTGAATAATTGAGAATCTAAAATTCACCATTTCTCATATGTGTAGATGCTCTAATAGAAGCCGCATCCCCTCTGTTGCATTGTACCATTTTAATAGAAGCCGCGGCTTCTAATACAGATTTTACAGAGTAATGTTTGATGAGTTGAATGTATAATAAAACAAAAAGTATATTTGCTTGATTTATTTTGCATTGCAAAATCATCCCCTCATGCAGTGAAAATAAATTCCAAGCAAAAATAAAAGTATTTTACAGTAAATTTGTTTAATTCGGACAGTGGTGATTAATAACAACAATAATGCCCCCCCCCCCCCCAGTGTCATATTGGATTCTGAGAAGGACTAGAGCCTATTATTAAAGAAATGATATCCCTGCCCAAGTTCTGTTAATCCTCACTTAATAACAGGCAGTGCTGTACTGCAATTAACACCCCAAACTGTCAAAAAAATATATAAACTTGCAGGAGTACGCATAAAAATAAAAGAAACCAAGCATGTGATTAGTGCACCGTGAGCAAATGACACTCATAAGTAAATGAAATGCGAAAATATACGATCATGGACAATTCCGACTGAACTGAACTGCACGTGGTACCCAGCAACCAATGAGAACATAATTTCACAAATACGATAGGTAGGTGAAATTATCATAGTTGTTGTATTACCGGGTATCTTAAATTACATCCTGGTATTATAACATATATTTTAAAAACAGCATACAGTAAATGAAAGTAAATTACTAATTTCAATATTGGGATGTACATTTGTAACTTACATGTATGAACAAATGAAAACACAAAATTTGTAGAAAACATTGTTTTTTACTTCTTTGATTTGTAAATAGTGTAAGTCATAAGTAAGTCATAAGTTTACATTTTTGCTAACCAGCATGTATGTCTGATAACAAATGTCACATGATGACATAGACTCATAAGTTGTTTTATTAACACAGGAATACACATATATATATTTAATAACAAAAGCAGTGAACAACATCCTTATTTTAACTTCAAGTGCAAACAAACCAGTACCTACCAACCAATCACTGTGCAGAACAGAACGTAAATAAGTACATGTTCGTTTCATTACACCAAGATCAACAATAAATATCAATAAATTATTAATGCGTTTAAAGCGAGAGGGTCGATCGTCACCAGTGCAGGCGCGGAAATTGAGTCCCAAGCGAGAATAACAACCCACACTAAAAACGCAAAGACTCATAAGTAGGCGCTTGTTTGTGAACAATGACACGCTATGGCCATCTGACGGATATGCAGGTGACGACTCCCCCACTTTAAATAATAGTAATACTCACCATAAATTGTCCATGAGTAAAACTGATGTGGAGAAGTGATGTTGATGTTTTTTGTAATCGTATCATAGAAACCATTAAATCTGACACCGTAAGCCCAGGGGAGATCTAAAATCACTTCATTGCCTCCAAGATGAACGATACCAATATAACTCGGGTCATTATCACCAAAATCACATAGGTAAAGACCAGACAAACCATTGCGTTCCAAAGTTGCATTGAATAAACCAACCAGAGAACATCTCTGGTACCCTGGATACAAAATGGTAAACTGTAGAATACTTTATTTTCGCTTGGAATTTATTTTTGCTGAAAGAATGATTTCCATGAAAATAAAATCCAGCAAATATACTTTTTTTTCTATATTTCACGTTAAACTCATCAAAAATCAGTGAAAATAAATTCCATACAAAATGCCAAAAAAACCTTTTCAGCGAAAATTAATTCCAGCGAAAATAAAGTATTCCACAGTATATGGTTATTTTGCTAAAACTAAAAATAATGCGAGTATGTGTTGAATTCCATTAATGAATATAGACTGGACAGACTTATAAACATTTGAACACAGTTGAGCTTGAATTTGGAAAATGTAATGGAGTTCAGAAATATGTCAATTGTTTTATCAAAGACTAAGATAAGGCATGCAATTTTGACAGCTATGTACAGTGATATCCAACGGAGTGTCATTCGTCACTGTGAGGTTGTCACGATCTGTATTCACAAAGGTACACGTAGATGATACACATTTTGAAAATGTGCAAAGATACCAGAAAACCAGCCTGAAATGAACACCGACTAATTCATACACAATAAATACAAAATTCTAGAAATTTTTGCGATGTGATTTTGTCATCTCACAATTCATGTGACTACTTCAATTCTCACGAGATCTTCCTCCCAGACCACACTACTTGCATTCATGTACCCTTATATTATAAATCTTTGATGTTATAATAATACTTTTAGCTCTGCTTTTAGGCTCCTCCAAAAATGGGAAATACTTCCCATAAATGTTCACATATTTTGCCTCAATATTTGTTTCTTCTCTTTAAAATGTAGTTTTAAATATCATGTAACTAACAAACATTATACATAAACCAATCATAACATTGATGATAATTTCAATTATGTATTGTGAATTTTTTTTTTTTTACTGAATTTTCACAAAAAAACCAGACAATGTCTTTAGTAAATCAACTCACCTACTCCAGGCACTTCACTATTCCCTGCATCAGCTTTATGTGCGTAGTTTCCCTCTAGACGATACCCTTGATTAGTGACAATAGCGGAGATTTCACCAACCATCATATAATCCTTTTCTTCCCATGTTCCCTCTGTGTGCTGAGTCCATTCACCGCGATATTCAAACTTGATAGTTACAATACTGTTTTTGACTTCACCTGAGATTTTCCACTCATGTGTACTTTTACCAGTTATCTAAAGCAAATAAAAGTATATGCTGAACAACGTCTGTAAACCGCTTTAGTTTCGCGAAGACGAATTTTTCCAAATCACAGCCAATCTTTATCCAATTCACCTCATGGCTAATTTAGATAATTAGAATAGTCTTAGTAATTTGTATCGTCAGAAAATTTAATATAAGGTCTCAGTCCATTACAACAATAGAAATTCTTGAGGATTGAGGAGAGATTAACGAGCAATTTTTTGCAGAGCAGTATTCCAAGACATTCAGCAATTATTATGAACTGCTTTCAGCAACTTAAATGGAACATTTTTAAAACCACTTGTCAAATGATATTCAAAATTAAAATTCACCAAATGTGATATAATCAATATCATAAATAAATTAGCATATTTGACAAATTTGCCCAAAAAAACAATAGCCACAAAAACAGTTGAGTATCTATTTGCATATTTGGTGATTGGCAGAAACAACATTAATTCACTATTATCATGCAGCTCTTACTTTGGTGCCATCTTGTTGAAGTAAAACAAAAAAGTCTTTGACCAGTGACTGACCAGATCTCTCATCGGTTACAATGGCCTGACAACACCACAATCCAGTTAAATTCCAGTCAGTTTCCTCTCTTGCATGATGACGAATTACATCTGAGAATTATCAAGATAATTGTGTGAAATGTTACTAATTGCCACTGAACATGATTTCGTCAAAGTTAAACAGATGTGGAAATTGTTTTTTTTATGCATGTATCACACATAACATGGGTGTATAGATCAGGTGACAGGGTTGTATGGATCAGGTGACATGATTGTATGGATCATGTGACATGGGTAGATGGATAAGATGACATGGGTGTATGGATCAGGTGATAGGGATGTATGAATCAGGTGACAGGGTTGTATGGATCAGGTAACATGCACGTACCGATCAGGTGACATGGGTGTATGGATCAGGTGACATGAGCGTATGGATCAGGTGACATGGGTGTATGTATTAGGTGACATGGGCATTGACGCTGCAGGTCGGCGTCTTCTACACCGATCTGATGCATATCGCGCAAGGTGTGTCGGGAGTTTGTTCGAAATTTCGAACGTTTCGAAGTCCATCATCGATTTCCACGTATTTTACGGATATATTAAATCGTTTCAGAGACCTGTTTACTAAATAATGATAAATGAAACTTAGAAAACTTGTAAGAACAAACTGGGCCCAAATTGCGCAAATTGCAATAAGTTTACGCTGCTAGAGTCTGGTTCGAATGGAGTTCTACGCGTGATTTTATTGCGCTCAAGAACGTTCTATTTTCGAACTAGTTGAAACCGGAAATAACGCAACTACTTTCGAACTTCAAACACAAATTTGATTATCGTTATTATGTGTTAGTTTCTGTTGTTTCAAAGATTGAATTATGTATGACAATAATATTTCACTCTATAAACAATGTTTCACTAAAATATGTGATTCAAAGGCAACCCAAATTGTAAAAATCAATATCAAGTTCCGCGTATAAACACTGTTGTAAAGAGGCGGCGGAGCGTAATTTTAGCCAAAATCGGCTAGTAAGGCGTCATATGACACAGGTTTGTGCTGGGACAGCGCTTCCGGTGACGACACAACGGTGACATGGGCATATGGATCATGTGACATGGTTGTATGGATCAGGTGACATAAGTATATGGATCAGGTGACATGGGCGTATGGATCAGGTAACATGGGCAAATGGATCAGGTGACATGGGCATATGGATCAGGTGACATGGGTGTATGGATCAGGTGACATGGGTGTATGGATCAGGTGACAGGGTTGTACGAATCAGGTGACAGGGTTGTACGAATCAGGTGACAGGGTTGTATGGATCAGGTGACATGGGCGTATGGATCAGGTAACATGGGCGTATGGATCAGGTGACATGGGCGTATGGATCAGGTGACATGGGTGTATGGATCAGGTGACATGGGTGTATGGATCAGGTGACAGGGTTGTACGAATCAGGTGACAGGGTTGTGCGAATCAGGTGACAGGGTTGTATGGATCAGGTGACATGGGCGTATGAGGTGACATGGGTGTATGGATCAGGTGACATGGATATTATTTTTCAGTTTGAACTAAATAAATCTAATCAGTTTTATTTACCTGCTAATTCATTAACACGAGTCTGCAATGTTTTTTGTAGAGGATCATGAAAGGAAGCCATATTAATGAAGTTGGTGTTTGACAATGAGTAGGCGATGTTATCAGGTATTTTGTCCAACACCCTGGGTGTACAGCCACTTCTGATGACAGGTACGATGATAGTTTCACCACTATTGAATCTCTCAGCGGCTCTTGTCAAATGACGCACTACGTTCTCATCTCTGGCAGTACTGTCACTGTAAATCACTACAAACACTCTAGAATCATGAACCTTGTCAACATCAGTAGTGACTTTTATTCCTCGTTTTTCTAATATCTTGGCCAACATTTCCGCATATTCCATATCCTCGTCGGTAGCGGCGATACTCGCTTCATATTCATCAGATGGCAGAGGTTTGCCTGACCATGCTGGTTTTTTACTTGATTTTATTTTGCTTTCCATTTCTTTGATGGTTCCCTGAGGTAAAAGCTTTGATTTCAACATTTCTTGCCATTTACTCTCAGCGTCTGTAAAAGCAAAACATTTACTTCAAAAACATGCACTATATAATTCTGGTCTCAGTCTGGTTCATGAACTTTGCTAAAGAACAGATTTAAAGGCTTGAGTATGAGATTCAGTGTATTCAAAAACACAAAACATGTATTAACCGATTTACGAATCAAGGACAAAACCGTTCCGAAATTAACACTAAAGATGTAAGTTTGTGTTACGATCATTTGACAATTCGTATGACTTCAACTACACTGGTATTGAAAATGTCAGACAATGTGACCTGGCTGACTACTCACTCCAAATGCATCAATCCGCCATTTCAGAACCAGGTTTTGGTAAAATTCCACTAAACCTAAGCCTAAGAATGGTTTATTCAGGTAGTACTGTAAAATACTTTATTTTAGTTGGAATTAATTTTTGCTGAATAGACTTTTGGGTGTTTTGTATGAAATTTATTTTCACTTATTTTTGATGAGTTGAATGTAAAGTATAGAAAAAAATGAATACTCGCTGGATTTTATTTTCAATGAATTATTCCTTCAGCAATAATAGCGAAAATTAATTTCAAGCGAAAATAAAGTATTCTACAGTATAATAAAACGTTACAGTCGCCAAGCAACGTATGTTCAAATTTTAGGTATACCCTGTATGCATCACTATGGGTGACGAGATGACTGTAGCGCTTTAAATAAAACAGTACAGAAAACAATCCTACCATCCCTTGCTGAAAGTTGTTTTCAAAATAGAGAGAATTACGTTACGTTACGCCTATATGGAAGTATTTTGATACAAATTATTTTCTCACCAGTCTCATCAAATTTCTCAACTCCAGTTACAACTTTCTTATGTTCAATTTTCTTGAATTTTCCTCTGGGTTGATCTGGTATATCCTGAGACTTGGCTACGTTCGACTTGGCACCAGCAACGCCTTCCAGGGGTTTGATTTGGGTAGCAAAGACCCAGCCATCTAACTCAGGTGGCATTCCATCACAGTGCACTTTAGCTACACCATCACCCACATTCAAAACAGTCGCTGCATACCAGTTACCATCTGCCCAAAGTATGTTTAATTGACAGCCTTTCTTGATCTGTATAAGCAAATAGGAGTCAGAAATACATGTCGATAAAACTTGATTTTAAGAACTTGTATCCATGGTAACAGTGTTATAGTGTTTGTAACTAAGAGATAAATGTCTGTTAGGGTTTAGCAACTTAATAAATAAGAGCAAAAAAAATATTCTTTTCATTCAGAAATATAATTATTGATTTAATAATAATAATTTGTTTCACTTATATTGTATTTTTTACAATTATCATTATAATTGATCATGAGTGCATGACAACAACAAAAAACAAAATATTCAGCAATGAACAAAATGAAATAAACACTATTTATATGGTCATACATTTATACAAATGCTTTTAATTAATTGACAAGGCAGTTTTTAGTATTGAAATTGACTATATCAGGGATGTATTGTATTTGGATTTGGAGTGTAGATGTGGTGCACAAACGACAAACTCTCTATCGCCACATATTACAAATCTAGACCTGGGTACTGCAAAAACACACAGTAGACAGTTGGTAGAAAATACAGTTTTACCCCCAGCTGCATCATTTTCTTTTGCTTCACTACCGAAAAAATAATTCGGTTTCAAAAATATATTCCATTGATTGGCAATACGAGTGCCTTAAAAACAACCAACACAATAGCCAATACAAGCTTAATAAGTCAAGAGTGATGTGAGAGAATCTTTTTTTCCTCAAAAACATAACAAAAGTAATCAATTTAGGACTTTTTTGTCAAAATATTTTGTTGAAGAATGCAAAAATTTCCATAAGAAGACAGGTTGAAATATAATTATTTCATGAAAACAAGCCATTGATCAAATCAAAGATAAACACAGTCCTTGTTTGAAAACACCATACATTCTAAAGGGTAGATTAGGTATGAAAGAAAACAGCAATGATCAATGATCTAAAAAAAGCAACCCTATTCAAATGTCAAATGAAGTTGGCGCAGTTTATATGATGGCAGATTACATCAGTTGAGTGGTGTTAAATTTCTTTCGTGTTATATTAAGGTCAATACAAGATATACTGTAAAACATGTCTTTTTCGAGAGAACTGATTCGCTTATTTAAGATGTCGCTAATGACTTTATTATCAATTCAAAATGGCCACCAAACAAAGAAATCAACAATGACAAGAGAGATTCGCTAAATCAACATTTCGCTATTACATCATTTTACCAAAATTCGCTAAAATTGCATGCCGCTTTTTCAACATGTTTCACAGCATGTGATTAGTATCTATTATTACTGACACTCAAATGTTAGACATCATAAAAACAGGATCTAGTTTATTCATGATTTTTTGGTGTCTTCAATGTGGTTCTAGCATAGTATACATAAAAACAAAATGGCCACCAATCGGCCCTTTTTAAAGCAAACTAAAAAACAAATGTCATATGCAATAAGATTCCATAATGCACAATGTATGTATCAAGTTTCACAAACTCCATCTATACACAACAGAAATCCAATTCTGAAGTGGCAGAAATGCTTAATTTTGATGATTTTTAACCATTAAAATGACTCCCATTTGGCCATCTTGAAATGGACTGTAAAATAAATGCATGTGCATATGTGTGACATGATGTACATGAAAAGTCAAGGAATGTCAGAAATATGGATATTAAAACGAAATTTTTCAACACATCACCAGTTGGCCATTTTGAATCCAATCTGGAAAAAAAGTTACTATATATTACTTGTTAAGAAAAATATCTATACATACCACTTTTGGATCCGAACCAATTCTTTGTCCATTTCGTAATTTACATTTCTCTGGACTAACGCATTCATCGTACTGATCACCCCAGCCATCATAGGTTACCTAGTGTTCCAAATAATAACAAATATTTACAAGCCATGCATGGCACAGTCCCCGTTAGTTATCAAATTTAAGATATATAGTTTTGTTTATAGTAATATAGCTGGAATATAACCATGTCAGGAATATGATTTTTTAACATTAAAATGATTGACATTTGTATCTGATCGTCAAAAAAGTACTTGTCCATATTGAGAGATATTGCTCTGGAACAGCATTCAAAATCAGCCATTTTGAATACATGTATATATATAACATGATGTATAACGAATATATAAAATTTGAATATAATCAGTCAAAGCATTTAAGAGATATGGCTCTAGAAGCCCATTCATTAAAACAAAATGGCCGCCAGACAGCCATTTTGAATCCGATCTGAAAAATAAATGATATGCATCAGACACCTGTAATGTCTAATGTATGTACTAAGTTTGAACAAAATCCATCCATAAATGCTTGATATTTGATGATTGTTTAGCACAAAAAAGGCCACCATTTGGCCATTTTGAATAGGATCGTCAAACCAATAAATCTGTCTATCTATGACATGATGTATAATGAATATTTAAAATTTGAACATAATCAGTGAAAGCAAGTCATAGATATGGCACGAGAACCACATTCATTAAAACAAAATGGCCGCCAGTCGGCCATTTTTCAATCTTATCTGAAAAACAAAATTATTTGCATCAAGGTCCCATAATGTCTAATGTATATACCAAGTTTGAACAAAATCCATCTGTAAACAGCCGAGAAATGCTTGATTTTTAGGATTTTTAGCACAAAAATGGCCGCTATTCGGCTATCTTGAATCAGATCAAGAAACAAATTGACGTGCATATGTATAATATCATGTATAATGTATGTGTGAAGTTTGATTGTGATTGGTCCAGGCATTTCTAAGATACAGGTCCGGACGCACGCACAGACGCACGCACGCACGGAGGTCAAAACATAAGTCCCCGTTTTCGGACTGCGTCACATGACAAAAAATTCTTAAAATTAATTAAAAGGTTGAATAGTTTGTACAATGGAGTCACTTATTGGCACATTATTACATGGCTTGAAAAATATGAAGAAAGTTTTAAAAAAATGCAGGTCAATGACGTATTACGGTAATATTTACTTCATATATAAATGGTGAGCCTATTTCTACGACTGTTGACGGAATCCATCGCTTGCTTCGAAAGATAGATACTTTCTGTCCCACTGAATAATCACCGTCTGAAAATAAATCAATAGTAAGTTTATAATGTGTGTTAATATTATGGAAACTTGTATCCCTACAAGCGGGCTTGCAACTTTATGTCTTTTTGACATCACAGTAGTGTATTTGTGTTTTACTTTTTTTGCAAACCATTCATACTTTTACACCACTGTACATGTCTTGGTGGCAGATGAAATTTCCAAAAGGTCACTAGAGTTTTGATGTAAAAATCTTTTTTTTAGCATGTTCAACAAACACATGCTTTTGTTGTAATGAAATGGCATTCAATAACTGCAATACCGGTACTATTGTTTTAGCCTATAAACTAAGCCATCAATCACTAATTTCGGAAATACTAGTAATAAAAAAAACAGACCTTGAGTGGAATTTTATGAGTCTGGCATATAGAATCAATATAATTCCTGATAGAAGGCAACTGAAAAAGTTAATAACCAAACTGAAAATCTTTCTAAACATCAAGTAATTGCATTCCATAATCTCCATGAGTTATCAAGTTTAAGAAATATATGAAGTTTGAGCGACAATCAGAGATATAGCTCCATGCAGGCTGCATTCATTAAAACAAAATGGCAACCATAAGGCCATTTTAAATCGAACACTAAATGAATAAATGTGCATCTGTGAGACATGTATATATTCAGTGACGGCATGTCAGAGATATTGTGTCTGAATAGTATTTGATAAAACAAAATGGCCACCAGTCAGCCATTTTGAATCTGATCTGCACAATGATGTACATCAAGGACAGTCCCATAATGTTTGATGTTTGTACTGAGTTTAAACAAAATCTGTCATTGCATGACAGATATCCGGTTCTGGAATACAGAAATGCTTGATATGATGAATTTTTTGCCACCATTCATCCTTCTTAAATCAGATCGCAAAAAGATCAAATGGAAGTGCAAAAGTGTTGCAAGATGCATGATGTATGTTTCAAGCTTGAATGTGATTGGCCATAGCATATCTGAGATACAGATTGCGACGCAAACATGGATGAAAGCATTTAGCAGACTTATTTATTTTATTATTTCTTCTACCTATTTGAGCAAAATTATTACAAAATAAATATTGAAGATCTTCTTCGCTATGATTGCCCTTAAAATCACTTTTGTGTGTGTGTGATTTTCAGTGTCTTCATGTATTAATTGTTCTGTGATTTTTTTGGCTGAGCCGATTTTGCTCAAACTTGGCAGGCAAGTTACACCTTCACCCCAGTTAGGTGGTAAATGTATTTCCTCTTACAAATCTAGGAATAAAAACCTCAGACAAGGCTCATTCTACTCAGCTTGAGTGTGGGCACAAAGTTATAGCATTTGTTGTTTTAACATCTTTTTTTCATTACAGAGAAATTTGACATCGAAGTTGGGGTAACTTTTCACCAGGAACAGCTTTTTACCTCTTCTGTGACTTTTTTGGCAGGTGTTCATCAAAAACTTGACTTTGGCATTGAGAGTGTTAATATGTGAGTACTTTTATAGTTTAATTTTTTAATTTTTAATTTTATCTTCACGTTCATTACAGCTATGATCACTTTAGTATTTATGTTGTTTGCACATAGACTATCCAGCTCTTATAAAGCTACACTGTTTAACTACAGTGAGATGACACTCATCAGAAATATACATACCCAGAATGTCCTTATTTGTTGTTATAATCACTGTGTGTATGCGTGCGTTCCAATAAATAAACGCTATACAATATTGTTGCAATATTGTGCTTGAACCATTTTAATTTAATTTCTCACCTTTAGATTGCGACGTGTCCGGTGCTGGTTTGACTTGATTATCTCCCACCCATGCACCTGTGAACGTTGCAGGACAGTTATCAAAAGTTACTTTTACCCTGTGGATGACAACCTCTAACACTGTTGCATCATACCACATCCAAGCCATGACACTTTCAAATTGGTTCCAACAGTAACCTATAAGAAATATAGTAATAATTACATGTTTAATCAGGACTGCTAAAAAAATACCAGGACTGCCAAACAAGTTTTTATATGTCCATATACATTTAAAAAAAGACTTGAGTTCAGTTATTTCTTAGGTTACCAACCTCTTGACCACCAATGTCAATTTTGTCAAAAATTAAAACTCAAATAATTTTGTCATATATTTTTTCATATATTTCCCAAAATCATGATCATAGCTAATGGAGAAATTATGCCAATTATTAAAAAAAAAATCTACAAAAATTTTAGAAAAACTGTCTTGACCTTTGACCTACCAAAGATTCAATGTCAGTGGTCAGTTCAAAAACCATGTTGAATTCAAACCGTTGTCATAAATATTCATAAGTTGAATATGCAGTGTAAAGTCACCCACTAACGGTAAATGTTATGCGAATAATGGACATTACATGTGTACACACTTATGACACAATAACCTGGCTCGTATACAATCTCAAGGTGTGGTTGACGTATCATAAAGTCAGATACAACTTACGCATGTCATTCAATAACTGAACAATTGCTATTGAGCTCCACTCAATATTATTATAATGTTGTTATGAGGATACCTCAAAGTATGCACAAAGACAGTACAGCTGGAGTATCAACCGGCGCGCAGAGGAGGTTGATGCAACAACGTACTGTCTGAGTGCATATTTTGAGGTACATATATCCTCAAAATAACCTTATTATTATACATCTTTCTTTGTTTTTATTATTAGAGGATGCTTACACGTGTAATTTGGAATTCACAATTCCTTATATGAGTGGATGAAAATACCACGGAAAATACCGCAAAATTACAGCACGCTGTAACCTATGGCGTTACGGTGACAGATGTATAATAATTATATCCTTGGGGGCGGACATCCGGGCATTTTCTACCGCCTGGCAACCCTCGCGGTGAAAACAAAGACCAAAAACTCGCAGAAAACGGTACTTTGCAATGGTTGTTGAGAGTCCCCTGAACAGTGTAACAAGATTAGCCCTACGTGTGTAACATATATGAATTTGGTTGTTCAGGATTCAAAGTTGAGTTTCTGTTGTTTTCTCGAGTTTTCACCGGCTCCACCGGCGTTCCACAGCAGCGCGCACAAAGCCCATAGAAATACGTGGTACAGTGGTGCGCGTCTTAGCAACGTAGAACGTCTGTGACGTAGCTCCGCCCCCGAGGATTTATACCTTGGAGGGATCAGCAATTTTTGCTCCTCCCAAAGTACAATCTTCTAATTTCTTCACTTCATCATAGGCAGCATCCCATCCATCATAATGGACCTGAAACATACATGTGTACATAAGCCTAATTAGTATAAGCCTTGCCAAGGCACAGTGAATAACATACCGGTGCTAGAATGACTCAAACCAGGGAGATCATGGGTTTAGTCACTTCTAGGCTCACACAGCAGATATAAATTAGAGTTCAATCTGAAATGGTAAATGGCATTTCCTATCAGATTAGAACAATTGATATACTCTCAGAAATAACAAGATTATAACATTTTGAGCCTTTTTGTAAACAATGTGTTAATGATACCAAATGATCCCTTCCCAGTTTACCTTAAAAGCATAATTTTTACCAACTTCCAAGACATCACCAAGTACCCAGTTCTTGCCATCAGCTAACACTAAAATCCTCTGTCCAACTTTGTATTCTGAAAAAACAAAAAAACAAATCATATATGCCACTGCATTACATTACTTTTGCTTGACATTTATTCACCGTACACTAATTGTATACAAGTAAATGAGAAAATACATGTTTTTCCACATAGTAAACTTACTACTAGTTATAGTATACAGTATAGCAACTTCTGTAAATGCATTGACTATTCACTGAATTTTAATTTCACAATTTTTCACTGAGAAGTAAATCTGTCAAATTAAACCCATATGAACATGTGAAATAGAACTCATTGTCTGCCAAGTTTGTGCTCAAAATAGTGAAATTAAATGTGAGTAGAAATTAATGGTTGTACAGTGCTTTGTGCTTTTTCATATATTACTGATGAAGAGACATTGTCCAAAACATCTTGTTATTTGGATTAGTGTTTTCTATTTCAGGACAATGATCACCGAATATAACCAATCAAAAAAAATACTGGGTACATGTAAGCCTTTTCAATTAATTATTCTAATGAAGTCTAAGTTTTGTAGAATGTAATTACAATGTAACGACAGATGTAATGAATTACATGGAAGCAAAAACAATATGTATGGCAGAAAATATTCAGTTTTTATTTGACGAATTAATAAATGCAAGTTTGTGTCCTTCCAATCACCTGTACAAATGGTTAATTAGGTGATACATACATATATGTACTAAGTGTGTTTTTTTATTCATTTTATTGAATCATACACTTATTTTGCAATCAAGATAATGCAACTTTGATAAAAAATACATTTGGATATGAAAATTATGCAGGTCACTATGACCTTCAATTGTTAATATTAAAAAATATTAAATAAATGACAGATTCAACAATCAGCAATTGCATTTTAGTCTGACATTTACAGAATGGTATATTGAACACAATATACATGTATTGACGGACTGGAAAAGTATTAAAGTCAGTAGAAGATGAAAGATATTTTCTTTAGCGTGGGAGAAAACAGAGGGTGTTAATCCAAAAATTCCTTGTGTATTCTTGTTTGTGACTGGTCCTGGCAAGGTTCGGGGGATCATCGTGACATAGCTCCGTCTTTGAGAACACAAAAGCAAGGTCACCTTCCTCCATTCAATCAGTCACACTTATCATGTTACTGTTTGTTGACATGAGTTACCATGACAACAGTATAAAACCAAATGGGTCACTTATAAGGTTAAACCAATAATTCAAACAATGACCAACAAAGAAAACTTGATGTAGCACAGCCTTTAAAATACACCTGACTGAGGTTTTAGAACCCATTTCATTCATGCCGAAAATTCCAAACTATGACTCAATCTAATCACCTGAGGTAAAAACAATAATTAATTTTCGCTGAATAGACTTTTTGGGCGTTTTGTATGGAATTTATTTTCACTGATTTTTTTGACAAGTTGAATTTAAAATATAGGAAAAACGGAATATATGCTGGATTTTATTTTCACTGAAACATTCCTTCAGTGAAAATACAAAAAATTAAGTATTCTACATTAATGTAGGTCACACTTGTCAATAAGCTTGTAACCATGGTAACCAACAGCATTGAAATAGACATGTAGCGGGGTATGCTACTGAATCAGGAATCTTTATAACTATCAACCAATACTGTATTCGGTAGATGATAAACACTACGCAAATGTAACCATATCAGTATTCAAAACAGAGAATACCCTTTTATTCCAACAGTAAAAATGGCTGCACAGCACAACTCAAACATGGACAGAGTAAAAAACAACCGAACCAGCGAATTCAAAACGTCTAGCCTAAACTTCTGATTGGCTGTTGCATAATGTCTCGCTCTGGCTAACACTCCATATTTGGAATTGGCTTAAAATAGCCGGACGATGATAGTTTCTATCGTATCGTAACATAATTGCTATGATGGTAGAAATACACTACGCTAGCAACTTTGACAATAGAATAGAAACGTATAACAAATATTATCAACGATGATTCATACAGATAAAACATAATTCATAATGATAATTGCATGCAGTAAACAATGAAATAATTCCAATTGAAATAAGCATAATTACGAATCTGGTCATTAAATAACAACTATCTCATATATGCACAAGGTGCAGCGATAAGACACTCAGAAAAGAAACTTACGCCTATTCTTATGTGAACAATTTTATATAATTCTAGTATCATTTTTTTAAACCTTTCAAAGGTAGATTTTGACAAATATTCACAAATTATGTCAGACAATGTGAATGCTGCAAAATTACAATGTTAAATGTTTCTTTTGGGTTTTGTACATTTCTACATTTGCAGGGAATATATTTAGTGTTAAAATCAGTTCAATTTTTTTTAGCATTTAGTCAATACCACATGTACGAGTAAATTCGTTAGCTTACTGTATTTCTGTTTTTTAGGAAAATTATCAAACACACAAAATATAACAATTTATAAGAAGAATCCAGAGGTCACAGAAAACCCACTGAAAAAAATGTTAATTTTTTTTATACATGATTGTTGACCTATTATACAATAAATTATTATTTCCCGTGAATGATTTACAAAATTGGATCAAATGAAAATAACCTGCAATAACACTATGCAGTAAAAAGTGGTTTCTATTATTATATGTTCATCTATAAATGCAATGAGATGTCAAATTTCTCATGATAACTACCGCTAAATTTGTGTACATTTTCTCTAAGTCCATTATTCAGCTAGAACCAAATGAACATAATCTATTCGTTTGTAAAAAGTCTTGAATCCGATTTTAGGGAAAAAAAATCATTTTGCACATTTAAGTATTTTTAAATTCTCATTGCTTTGGTTTTGATAAAAAAAAATTCTTTAGTTTATGAAGACTATATATTAATCATTGTACTTACCTGAAGCCATCCTAAAATAGGAAATCTGCACCTGTTTAATATATCACACTGAAAAATTGATTCCCAGTTTGGTGAGCCATGTTGCTAAGTATACACATTCTTAGCAACAGAGAGCTTTCAAATCAATTGAAACCGTAACCGGCTATGACAACACATGTCATTGTCAGTGGAAGTTCAAAGTTCAACACGAGTTCACAATTCCGTTGCTTTATAAATGAGTGATATTTACATTTAGTCACAAATTACTCATTGAATGCCACTACAAATGTTTCAACCCTAGTTTGAGTAAACTTTCAATTTGGTGGAATTTAGTCAAATAATCATGTACTACCAGTAACAGTTATTATGTATATCGTGTCAATATTGATTTCCACAGGAGGTCTCCATGGTGATTTTCTATTGGAATATTGTGACTAGATGAACAACAACCACTCAAAACCGATTCAAACTTCTCCTAATCAGGGCTTTCATTTCACAAACCAATAATATTTATTGACACAACACTGACTTAGGAAAGCATAGCAGTAAGGTCTCAAAAAAAGATAAAAGTTACATCAATTGCGAAGTAAAAGGTAAAAAAAAAAAGATAAAACGATATAAGGCAATAATAGAGTAATTCTAAATTAGAAGAAAACAAGTCATGTCATGACGTAGTCCCTGTAAGTTAAATAGTGAACTGAAATGAGTCAGCCATTTTGAATAAGAACATGAAACAAATTACATGAGATTAAGTAAGTATTTTCTTTCAAAGAAGGGAAGTTTCTATTTTTTTTCTTTTCATGTCATGTAGTTGTAAAGTTCGATTGCAATCAGTCAATGTATACCAGATACATGGCTCTTGAACAGCATTTTGAATAAAATTATGGCCTGTAAATGCTAACTATATTTATTCTTATTGGAAGCTTAGTTTATTTGTTAATTTATAATAGACAATGTAATTATTTTTTTCTGGTTATTACCGTAAATTAATTCCATGGAAAAATCTAATGTAATTTTTCGAGATTATCGAAAAATTCAGTAGATGAATGACCTTTAAAGCCACTATAAATGCAATGTAACGCTAAGGCAGATAAGAAAGGACAACGTTAAAAAGTTATCGAGTGGTTCACGTGTTGATCTGAGTGACATTATAGGCTGTATTATCCACAGCCTTGCTATCACCGAGTATATCAGACTTTTCTGATATTTATAAGGCACCTTATTTCTAATTTCTGTTTTGCTATTGTGTTTTTAGTAATTTTCAACCTTCTGTTATGAGCTGGTTCTCGAAATAAAAACTATTATTATATATCCTCTAAGAAACAGAAAGGATGGGAAATTAATACATTAATAAGTATTTGTCTGTCTACTTTTCCAGTTAAATAATACAAATCACCACCTACATTTCAAGTTGACCCTGTTGCTGACAATTGTATAGCTATATGTTATATCCCATTGATGGCATGCGCCCATTGACTGTAAGATTTGATTGATTGTATGTAAATACTATCACTTATATACAGTTTGTACCTGTACACACTGAATACCATGTGATCATCTGGATTACTTAAGCACAGACAATATTTTATTTCTCAAGATTTTTGTTGTCCAATTGTGAACAATTATTTTATTAATTTGTATCACATTTGAATACCGATAATTTTGATCATTGATGAAAACTTGCTAACCACCAAATAATTGCAAGTTAAACATAATGAGTGGATTTACTTCCCATGCACTCACTTTGGGGTCATCAATTGCTTCAAAGGAAGAAAATGATATTTCCCATATTGTCATTTTTTTCTAATTCAACTTTTTATTTTTAATGAAGTTTGAAAATAAGTCTTAATCACAAAGAAACATTCTATGGGGGGGGGGGGGTATTTTCAATAAAAAGCGGACAGGTTTATAGAAATCTAACCTGAAAAGTATAATGTTGTACCTGCCTGAAGTGTAAAGTACAAGTCAAAAAGACAGGTTGACAAGTAGCCACTGTTGCCAAGGCAACCCACTGATCCACATATACTGTAAATGATTTTAATTACACAATTTTTTAGGTTAACGTTTTCAATGAATAAATAAATAAATACATCTGATTATGGAATTTATATCAGTATTGTACGTAATAACTGAAATAGTCTGTTTCCATGGTTACGTCAATAAAAAGCACTATCTTACAACGTGATATACTACACTGATTAGAATAGAATAGAATAATGCTTTATTAATACCATAAAGAAAGAGTTAACATTTCCTTTAAGGTTTTCAGATTAATAAAGTAAATAATAAAAGTACATGAAATATAAAAATTGATTTAAAAGGAATTCAACATTAGTGAACGACAAGAATACTACAGACAAATATTAATAATATAAGAAATATTAAAATACTGTGATATGTAAGTATCACTGTATGTAGCATAGAATATGTAAAAAATATAAAAGAACATGACAAAATAAAAGAATTAGTCTTGTTTAGATTTAACTAAATATTTGCAGAGAGTGATAAGATGGTTTGTATTTGGTGACTGTAGTACAAGTTTAAATTGTTCTTTTTTGTTCAAGTTTTGGTAATCACTGTTAATTTCTTTAAGAATATTATATATGTCATCTCTGTGTTCTGTGTACAGTTTACATTTAGTAAATGATGTAATT